AGCATAAAGACACATCACCTGAGCCAAAGATTTAAATTGTTATGGGATGTGATCTGAGGAGGCTGAAACAGGCCTTAGCTCTCACCTACCTTCAATGTACAGTCTTAACATGTAGCTCCACTCTACCTTGCTTGAGATTTGGCTGCTGTTACTTGTGACCAGAAGGCCTTATTTATCAACCCTTCTGTGCCCTAGACACATTGCAAATCTTGCCCTCATCGATGGTTTTGCCTTTTATGAATGGTCATATATAGCTCTGGGACATTGAAATCTCTTGCCACTAGTGAGTCTCTGNGCTTCTGTGCCCTAGACACATTGCAAATCTTGCCCTCATCGATGGTTTTGCCTGTTTATGAATGGTCATATATAGCTCTGGGACATTGAAATCTCTTGCCACTAGTGAGTCTCTGTCTCTTTCTATAATTCAGTTAATTTTTCCTTTAAATTTCAATGCTAAGGCATTTATAGTATGTAAGTGTAACAATGACATTAGTCTGTGGTCTCTGACTCCTTTCAGCATAATGTAGTGTCCTTGTTTATTCCTTTGTATTAGCCCTGACTTAAGTATCAAAAAGCATTCAGAATTTTTTCAAATAGTGATTAAGTACCTCAAACATCTGAAGCCATCATACTGCTTTAGCTATCTTTCTTGTGATTCACCATTTTACTAAAATAATGATTCTCTTTGCTAAAATAATGATTCTTTTTTTCTAATAAGTTTGGTTGTATCAAGTCAAGAAAACAAGTATTTATAAAGTGCCTGCTAGGTGTCAAGTATTGTGCTTAGTGCTAGGGAAACAAATAAAGGTAAAAAAAATTCTCTGCTTTTGAGGATTTAAAATTTAATGGAGGAAACAACTTGCAAACCACTATGTAACAACAAGATATGTAGATGTGGGTACATATGTGTATATATACATATACACACATCACACACATATATTTAGAGACACAGAGACAGCCAAAGAGAGAGACATGTGTAATTGTCTAATTTATTCCATGTATATATGTATGTATAATATATACACATGTATATATTCTCACATACATATGCATATATGCATATATACATATATGCATATATACATAAGGTAAACTAAGGATAATTACTCATGTAGCTACCCATATATTTCTCTGCACATATCTATATCCACATTTATACATATGCAGGAATAAACCAGAGATAATCACAAAAGGAAAGAAAAATAAAAACAAGTGATCATAGCCAAAGGACATATTACATATTAAAAAGGTTTTTTACATGTAAAATGTAACAAGGTTTATGTCAATAAATGTAATTAATTATATGTCTTATAGTTACCTATTTTCCTCTTAGAGTATACAAACAAGTGAGTAAAAGACTGACAGAAAAATAGAACTTCTCCGTAATTCAGTTGAAGGTGAACTTAAAGCTTAACCACCTTTTAAAAAAATTATGGAAAGAATCTATTAAGTAAAACAAGAGCAAGGAGAACAATGATTTAAAGAAGCTATTTTTGAAAGCATATTTCACTTTTAGTTGTTTGTTGTCCATTGGGGTTGAGATGAGGCATCTCTCTCATTGACATTCACCCAGTTTTTGCCATTTGGGAAATTAAACAATCCTTTCAACAATTCTGCTCTGCTCGCCATTACAAAAGGCCATGTCTTTAACAGTAATATCATCCTAATACTATTATATGGTTGCAAATTATGGAACATTATAACTCAGATGAGTTAAAAGTGTAAGTAACCCAATGAAAATGAAAAGCTACATGGAGGGCATAAACAAGCTGCAGTATGTTACTAGTAATGATGGGCACTAAATGTGGTAAAAAAAAAAAAAACATAAAGGATAGATATCACTAAAAAGGGAGTGAGGAAATGAAGTATCGCCTGGAATAATCCCAGGGTGCCCAAATCGTCTTTCTGTCTTCTTTCTCTTCCCCATCCCAATCAGTCATTCATAATAATGCTACATTGTTCAAAATCCTTCTTTTGCTTCTTTCTGCCTACTGAATACCATTCAACCTCTTTGGCTGGCGTTCAAGTCTAACTGCAACCTTCCTTCCCAGCTGTATTTCACATTGTTTCTATTTGCGTGCCCATACTTGTCCATACACCATTCCTTGACTATATTCCCCAGTTTTTTGCCTGGGACTGCGCTTCCTCCTAAATGTTCTCAACCTCTTGAAATCCTGGATTCTTTAACCTAGATCAGATAGCACTATCTCTAAGATGGAGGACTCAGTTTTCCAAATTGGAATAAATCTTTCCCTTCTAGGGATTCATAGCTATAATTTTTTTGCCTTTTCTACATAATTAATATTTCTATTTTGTGTACTTTTCTTCTCCTTCACTAAGTTCTAAGTATATTAAAGACAACCCACTTGCTACATCTATTTGTGAATTCTTTAGCCACATAGTTGGGGATTGATGATAAATATTTGTTGAAATTTAAACAAAATGACAGAGCTACAGGTGTCCCAGTCATATAGAGATGAAGTTAGAAGACATAGCTCTGACCCACATTCTGAAATGATTGGCTAAGAAGTCCACTCCCATTGAGATCTGTGACTTTTACTACATGAGCAGAAAATGACTTGTTCTCTGCTGGCCTGGACTCCTATTTGGTATGGTTAACCTATTCATGTATCCGTTAGGATAATTGAAGTCAGGGAAGTTGTATGCAGTGAATCTGGAGGTTGGTAAGTAGGAAATTCTTAGATTTAGGGGCACATGTAGCCTTTCATGTACAAAGTTCTCATTTTAACCCACCTCAGGCTACCCAGCTTTACTGATTTATAGTTAATTAGGAATGAGATTTTCATTGAAAATTCCAATACTTATATGCTTTTTTGTATGCATTTCAGAACATGTTGGCTGGAGCAAATAATTGCAACAGCACTCAAGAAATGAATGAATACCACAGGGAACAGCTTCAACCTCCCACCCCGTGCCCCTGACAACCTGTAAGTAAATCCTGCTGTGCTCCCTGTTTGCAGAAATATCATTCTGACATCACTCGTGATCACCGAAAGATTTCTTTTCCTATCATTTAACAAAATCCCAGTACTACTTCCTCACATTNCCCCACCCCGTGCCCCTGACAACCTGTAAGTAAATCCTGCTGTGCTCCCTGTTCGCAGAAATATCATTCTGACATCACTCGCGATCACCGAAAGATTTCTTTTCCTATCATTTAACAAAATCCCAGTACTACTTCCTCACATTTTTTTCTAAACAGAATCTCAAAAGCTCATATTAATTTCTGTGATTCATTGTAGATTTTTTTTATTACTTGCTATTTTACTGTAAAATTAAATTCTTTAGACCACATAGAGGCCTAGTCATAGACATAGTGTATGTCACTTCCCTTATAATAATTATTTCTTAGAGGGGTGTATGAGACAAACAGTAAACTTATATAAATGATAGAAAATATATACATATATATACATATATATACATATATATATATAATATTCAAAAGAGGAACCATCGTGTTCCATTGTACTTACAAAATACATTGTTATCAAAGTGCTTACTAAATATAGCATTTTTGTGAAATAGAGCCCTTTTCATGCTTATTTTATGGATCAAGACAAATACTGAAGACCTTCCTAAAGCTACTAAACAGAGCAGTTGATACTGAATTGTCAGAAGGGTAATGCTTCCTTCCAACACTCTATTCATGTCACTAAAGATGGCATTGCAAAAGTGATGGCAAATTTTTACTACTGACTAGCAAGCTATTTTGACTATAAACATCCCCAAACTACAGAAGAATAGCAGAACAATGAAAATGTTCAGCTGGTCAGGACTAGATTTGTTGTTAAGAAACAATGACAAGGGAAAGAGATAAAGGAGGAAATTTAGTCTTTGTGAAACCAACAAAAAAAA